AACTCACATTCGTTGTCTTTTGGGGTCAGGATGACCCCAATGAAATGCAGGTACAAAATATAAGAAAGGAATATAAATTGTGACCGTTTAAAATANGCCAGTTGCCTACGCACTGTGCTAAGTTCGCCTTGTTAATTCTTGTTGCTTATTTCCACTATTTCACTTGTTAAGCCAACTACAATCAAGCGCAGCTATTCCGCTGCAATTCACATGATCATGTGGTTGTTGGTTTTTTGTTAATACGTCTATTATTAGAATGTTTGACTTTTAGGTGTGCTCGTCCTTAAGTTATTTTTTTCTGTTATTTTATGGCCTTATAACAATTATATTCAACAATTTTTAATGAGCTTGAGGCCGTTTTTTTATGAAAACTCATTAGCAGATATGAATTTGCCCTAGTAGAGAATCGGGACAGAAACGAGTTACTGGACTAGCGGAAGGTCCGTACTGTGAAGACCGACTAAGGTCGGCAATTTGCGGTGGCTAACTCTAGCCAACGAATGCGAATAGAGTATCTTTTTTTCTCTTACTGTCTTTTTCACTGGGCGCTTTGGCGGTCGGGGACAAACTGCCCAGTATCCTCTCCGAGCATCTATATTCATAGCACGTTCACGCGCGCTCCCAGCGGGAGTCGTGAACTGCCTGACAATCCGCACTCTCATTAGGATTGTCTTTTAGGAGCTTTGACGAGTTCTCCTTATCAAAATGTCTGATATCTTTCGGAGTTTTGACGAGTTTTCCTTTAAGAAAATGTCTATTGGGCCGCAAAGCCATAATGAATAGGAAACAAAATAAATATATACAGGTTTTTCCCAGCCGCCGGACGGCTATAAACTCGCGGCCAAGTGTTCTTTTCAGGACAGCTTGCCCTGTGTTCTTCTTAGCGAAGTTGAACTAGTGGGAGCAGGGTGTTAATGCCGACTAAGTTCGGCAATTGGGGGGTAGGCTTCTCTGGCCTAAAACAATAGAGAACCACCTCAATACCGGACTTGAAATTTTCCCAGAGTTTACTCGGCGTAATTCTGACTTAAGCATTTCGCATAGAACGCCACTTCAACCCACACTTAGTTACGCAACCGGGATTGAGTTTCCGAGTCAAATATGCTCGGCAAACTCTGACCTAACCTTTAATATTTTTTTCTTCCAGAATTACGAGAGCCACCCTGACGTACTGAAACCCCTGATTGAACCTTTTAAATCATAAAATTCATTGTTCTACAAATGCCAGAATGTTAGGAGCCCGGCTCAGTATTAACCAGATCAGTAGGCTTATTGTTTCAGAGACCGGCTACACAATAACGAGTCCACCCAGCATTACAAGCGAATACTGACGCGGAGTATAGTAAATGCGTTGACTTCGGTATTTTCGTAACATCAAACTTAACTTATTAGACTACCAATACTGAGTCGGACGAACCCTAACTGGCACCTGACGTAACTACGGGGTGTTATTTTTTTTCCCCGGCTAAAGATTTCTCTTTTCTGAGACTCTATATCTCAGGGGTGAGTCGTGCCGCACGTTCTACTGATCTTACCACATAGTTACACTACCGGACGTCTAGCGGAAGACAGTTAACCCCTTTTCCTGTTCGCTTCGGTGACGGGTCGGGAAGTAAAGCAGGTTTGTTATGGGTTACTCTAGTGCACCCGATAGCATGTCAGAAATTTCACCATGTCATATTTTTGTAGAGCGTACGGCAACGCTAAAACCGCATTGAAAGTCTGCCATTTTGACGATAGCTGTGTTCCTTACGGACAGTTGTCGCTGATTGTCACTTGGCACAGCTGTTGGAATGCGGGCACAATAAATATCAGGGCTTATATTTTGGCATCTATTGCGGTAACTTACTAGTTTGACAACTACGTTTTCTTTGCACCTAAAACATTCTGGCGGCAACATTATCCATATTTTGACATACGGACTGTGCCAAAACCCAAACCCACGCTCGTGCGAAGCTCTAATTTTGTGTGTTACTGAAATTGTCAAATCCATTTTATAACTTGCAAGTAACGTACGTTCTTTTGTTTTATCGGATTCCATTTTGATTTTCATTCTTTACTGCCGCCCACAATATTCTGCCTTATCCTGAGTTTCGCCCGAAAATTGTTCATCCGCCCATATTAAATACATGGAAACCAAAAGTTGAAAAGTGAACCGGTCCGGAAAAAAATGAAACTCATAATAAAGCTGATTACACTTAGAAGCTGTCAAATTTTACCTAGCACATGAGCTAGATAAAATTCTGACGTTCGTATTCACCACGAAACTGTCAAATTTGTAAACTAGCAATTTTTAAAGATTTTGTTTGCGGTTAAGTCCGGTAAAAATACTTGCAAAGGAGTCACGGCAACCCCGGATTTTTTTTTTGATATTCCTCTTTACACTGCGGCAAATTCCATTTGGAAGAGTAGCGGAACAAGTCCAAATGACGCAGTGTCCGTTATTCTTCTAAATTCCCGCAGTGCAAGAGGATAAAAACCTGCTGGCAACACCACAGTCGGCCAATTATTCTCAGACTCGACAACCAAACGTAGTGGAATGGGCGGAAAGTGAACAAACAAAAAAAACAAAGAAAATAAAGTGTAGTAGTAAACGTTTTGCACGAATTGTACAATAATATTCATAAATTACGGTAGTATGTAAATTGTTGATGCACATAATTGAGGAGGTGCAAAATTTTATAAAGTAACTTACAAATACGGCAAACACGGAAAAAGTTTTATTTCTTTAATCAACAGCATTTCTGCGGTTCGGTTTAATTCCTAACGCGCAAGGCCAAGTGAAAAAACCAAACTAAATTATTTAACAATTAAAGCAAGGTGAATTTAACGTGCCAACCGCACCTCGAGCTTCCGCAACAGCAAACACGACGGAAGCGGTAGAGCCACACCAAATGCATTAATATGGTGCCAGTCGGAGGAGCAGCACTTATACCGCGTGCCTGCAAGCACCACCACCAACCACAAGCCTCTAGCACCGTAAAACAACCGTCAGCATCAGCCGCAATCAAGGTAAGTGTTCCTCAGCATTAATAGTTATAATTTTAAGTCGTGTTAATGAGCGCTTCTCCGGGTTTCATGCGAATTTTCTTGCTCTAAATTACTTTATTCTGCTCCAGCTTTTTGTTATTTGAATGGATCACCTTGGAGCAAGAAATCACACATACACCTTGCAATGGACGAATTAAGTAACAGTCGACTGGGGTACAGTTTGGTAAATTGTGCAATGATTTTAGGGTGCTGGGTGCAAACACGCAACCCGAATCAAAAAACGTTAACATACACGTGTATCAAAAGCACTAGCTTAAATTTAAAACAAAAAATTTTTATTTCCGAGCAATATTTTATTAGACTGCAATTTAGTTTGGCATCCCCGGAGTTCCGTATTAAGGTAGCTATTGAAAGGAGGGTCAGTTCTCCTGATTGCATATATCGCACACCGTCTTCAAAAGAGTCACAAATACGTTCGTCAGAAAATGCGAAAAACTATTTCGAAGCACATGCTCATCATATGGGCAAGGGCGACTTTAGCTAGGTTTTTTTTTTAACAAATTGTAACAAAAATTTTCTCCATCTTTTGCTGAAAGTTAAATAAAAGCTCTGTGTACATTTTTAGCGCATAATTTCAAAAATGCCAAATTTTGAGTTGTGACTCTTTTGAAGACGGTGTGCGATATATAGTTTTAACTGCAGGAGCCTTGTAGTTTTTTTAGGTATTTGTTATTAAAGTTATTAATAAAATCTTTTTAAAATAAGTACTTTTTGTAAAGTTCGACGGTGTTCTATGCAAAAATACTGGGAATGGCCTCACCCGAATTGCGAACTTCACCACAATTGCAAAGAAATGCCCTAAAAGTTTGTAATCTGCTCCTTCTAACTTTTCAATTTGTTGCTTTTCTACCTACTTCATCATTGTAACAACAACGCGCGAGAGCAACACCGCACAACAGCAACAACACACAACGAACGTCATCAACCGGGGTGAGCAACCGGGCGACAGCAACAACCGCCACAGCAGCGGGTGCAACAACGCGCGACTACAGCAGCGCGCTACAGCGACAAATAAAACGCGCAACTACAATAACAACAGCGCGCAACAACAGCAACATCAGCCTCAACCACACCGTTGAAGCAACACCGTTGCCGGCACAATGCCGGCAAGACCAAAACACCGGTAAGATCACCACACCGGTGAAGCAACACCGCTGCCGGCACCATACCGGCAAGATCACAACAACGGTGAAGCGACCCCGGAAAGCAACAACATCGGTCGAAACAACAACAGCGCGCAACAACAGCAGCAACAGTGCGCAACAACAGCAACAGCGCCCATCAACAGCAGCAACAGTGCGCAACAACAGCAACAATAGCGCGCAACACCAGCGACTACGACAACAGCAGGCCACACCCAAGCCTGCTGCAACAAGGGTGAGTCGTTCGGGCCGTACAACCAATTTTTAATTTAAAATTGAACTCTAAATAATTATAATTAGCAATTATCATTAGAAGTATGGCCAGCAGATCGGGAAAGCGTCTATTAAACCAAAATTTTTGTATAAATATGTTAGGTATATGTAGAAGTTTTTTTTTGTATTACCAAGTTGCAAGGATAGATGCGTATATATACTACAAATTGCAACTATAAAGGCAAAGTTTTAAAAATATGGAGGATCCTTCGATTACAGTAATCGTTTTTATGAACATACCTTCGAAAATGCGTTTATGTATTCATACTTTGTAGCATGAACCAAAAAGACAAGATCACGTAAGAACGCGACGTTGTATTTGTAACCGGTTTTGAGAAAAAAATAGCAAAAAAGCGGGTTCGTCAGCTGTTCTTTGTTTACAGATGTTTGTTTACATTTTGCGACTGGTTCATATTGTACAAAGCGGTTTATTTTCGATTGTGTTTAAACTTTTTTAAAAATTGTGAGTGAAAATTATTATAAAATGAAGTGTGCTGTATTAGGATGCGAAAACGAGTTCTATAATGACCGTTCTATAAGTTTTCACCGTCTCCCAAGAGATGAAAACTTACGCAAGCAGTGGATGGACTTTTGCGGGCGACAGGTAGACTCAACTGCAAGAGTATGTAGTGAACACTTTCTGCCGGAAGATTTTGCAAACGCTTTGAAAGTTGACATGGGTAAATATCATAATTTTCTTACCCATATATGTGTACATGAAACTTTGATTGGACTGAACTATGTACTAGGATTGGTGAAATATCGTAAGCTCAAAAAGGGGGTAGTCCCGACAGTGGGTAAGAAACGGTACCCCAATTCAGGCATTAGTTACCTGTTGGAGGCTGCCAAATTGCTTGAAGAGGCAGAGAGCCCTCATGAAATGAAGAGGAATGCCCTCACCATAAGTGATTTGTTGGAAGCTGCACGGATAATTGACGCCGAAGATGTTCATGAGGTGAAGAGGAATGACCTCAGTACAGGTGATTTGTTGGAAGCTGCACGGGTAATTGACGCCGATGAACAAGATAACATAGCTGTGCCTGGAAGGTTGCCATTGATGGAAGTCGCAAACGAAAAGAATTCCAACCAAAAAGAATTGTTGCAGCAACAAGTGTAAGTTAAATAAATACATCGCTCTAGATGTAATAAACATATTTTACAACGGTTTTTATATCCCACAGGGAAGGTTTAAAAAAGGAGGCTGAATTTGAAAAAGCGCGATTTAGCCAAAAAATGCAAGTGTATACGAAGTAACGATTTGTATACATAACGTAAACATTTTTATAAATTTTCCGTAGTGAATCGCTTGATTGGGAAAATCGGCGTTTACGAAACTGCTCCAAACAGCGTTTGGAAGACAACTGAAGCTGGAGATGTAATATTATTTGAGTAATGTGTATATTTTTTAAGTAACTGGTTAAATAACTGGTTTAATACAGCGAAACGTTAACGCGAGAAAAAAGCGCCTTGCGAGAAACTGAAAAGACCTTAAAAAAAGAAATCGCTGGCCTCCAGCTGCGCCTTAAAAAAGTAGAGTTCGAGCAAAAAAATATTGAGGAAAAGCTCCTCTCAATATTCACTCCGGGGCAAATTAAAAAGCTAAGGCTGGGAAACAAGGTTTTGAGATGGGCAGAAGACCAGCGCCAAAGTGTACAGGCTGCTGAAGAAATGGGGGTTTCCTCTTCCTGCTGTGCGCACGCTCCAGTTTTGGGCCAACAAACTTACAATTTCTACAGGCGTAATCGAACCTGTGTTGAAAATTTTGTCGGCCGCCACGCAGCTTGATATAGTGCAGAAGATATGCGTGTTGAGCTTCGATGAAATGAAGATACGCAAAGCTTATTTTTACGACAAATCTTCCGATACTACATACGCGCCAGTAGACTACGTACAAGTAGCAATGTTACGCGGTATGTAATTAGATATATCCTATATATACATATATATACGCATATAACATATAACTATTCATTGCTTTTACAGGATTAATGTCTATTGTAGCTGTTGTAAGTGATTTGGGTGGCACAAACAGGGCGCTCTTTAACGAGCTGGGCGTCACATATGATACTCCATGCTAAGTTACAATAACATTCTAAAGCACTGATGTCTTTCTTATTTATAAAACGTTTTTATTTTTAGGTTCCCCTGTCCCAATGAGCATATATTTGTATTTCCCGATGCACTGCATTTAATAAAGATCCTGCGAAACCACTTTTTGGATAGCGGCTTTATTCTGAAAGGCAAAGAAGTGAAGAAGGACATCATTGTGGAGTTGCTCTCGTGCACTTCCTCCGAGTTGTCCATCACACACAAAATAAATAGCAGCCACCTTAACGTTTTTGGTCCGTAGAGGCAAAAAGTTAAAATGGCTACAAAGCTTTTCTCGCAAGCCATAACGCGAGCTGCAAGCCTGGGCCACTTAAGCGCACACAACTGGGAGGAGTGTCATGCACTTTTTAAGCTTCTGAGTACTGCTTTAAAATCATAATTGGAGTATTCACACTTGCTTGGTTATCTGGTTATGTGGATATTTTTTTAACTATGTATACAAAAACAAAATACACTAGAGAATAATAATTTTTAACCAGATAACAAGGCAGGCCCGAATACCCCTAATATCTTTTATAAGTACAATACAATAACTTATTCTTTATAACATATTTTTCAGACTAATGACTGGTTTGACGTCATGAACGTCAGGGTTGCGTATCCTGACACAAGACCGCGGACACACGCATATGGTCTAGCTCTGGAAGTGCAAAATGACATTCTGCAAAGAATGGCGGATATGATGGCGGATATGCGAGTCATTGGAAAAACTAATCCACTACCTTTTCAGAAAGGTAATAATTGTAAAATTAATATTTACATCAATTATACCTATTTTTATATTTGTAGGAATTATACAGTCGATTTTAGCATTGAAGCTGTTGTACGAAGACTTACAAACGCGCTTCAACTTAAAGTACGTGTTAACGTACCGACTAAACCAGGAAGTATTGGAGAATTTTTTCGGCGTTATCCGGTCGAAAGGAGGCATGAATAACCACCCCGATCGCCAGGAATTTAAGTACAGGCTGCGCTCTTACATCCTCGATTACTTAGATTAAAATAGGGTACGCACTGCGACTAAGAGATCTACTGGTAATTTATTGTCTTATATACTTTGTTGAGGTATTATCTTTAACAAGATTTCCTTGACGCCCGATGCGGTCAGCGAAGAATTTGCCGATCAAGAGGAACACAAGCTGGAGTCCTTGGAGAACGACGGACTCGAGAATCTTGCCGGTTACATATGTCATAGGCTACATAGCGTAGTGCCTGACATGAGGGTGGAATGTGACGACGACAGCTTCACCTGGGTAAACCAACTAACCGAAGGTGGTTTGTCAAGGCCAACGGAGGCGATGATGACTCACATGCAGCAGCTGCAGAATGTGTTTGAAGAAATAAACGGCACTGGGTTGCAAGCAATGGCCAATTATGTGGGAGAACATATTAAAAAAGCTGAACATGTAAATTGCCACGACAGAATAAAGAGACTGTTTTTCCGTGCGCGAATGTTCATCAGAATTCGAACTCTGAACAGACAGATTTCTGATAGTACACGCTCTCGAAAGCGGAAATATCGTAAAATAATAAAATGAGGTAAGGTGAGATACATTTATTTCCATAAGATTTTATACTACAAATAATTGTTTTCGATTACACTTTTCAGCAACTCAAAAAATCGTTAAAAAATTGGCGAACCACGGCTGATAGCCCACAATAATGACTATGCAATCCAAGCATTGATTGTGTATTTTTATGTAAGTACACAATACACCTTTCTTATGTACATTTTTCAACTAATTTAATCATGTACATACATGTACATTTGTATTTTTTGGTTGTCCTTTTTTCGATGCAGGTTATAGCGCCAACTCAGTACTGGACGCACTACTTCAACCAGCTAGAATCAAGCATTTTATTCACTAAGCAAAAGTAAGTATACGCCGAAACCACCACTTTTTTAAACCAAAATATCTTTATTTGTAGTTTGTTAGTAAATCATTTTACATATTTTTCAGATGAAATGTATCAAGTTCCACGGTGGTCCCTTTCGAGACTTTTGCTTCTCACACACCTCTGTTATTGTAATATTGAAGAGCGATTATTCCTGGAGCTATACATTTTATGCCGCAGAATGAAGCGCTCCACATGCACATGTCGGAGATATGAACTAACTAAACACAGGTAATTTTACGCGGACACCACTAGTTTTCACTTTTATTCATCGACAAAGGAGTTAATTTAACACAACAACGCGTTTTCCAACATTTATTTTTATTAATATGCTACAATTTGTTAGAAGTTTCCTAAATCAATCGTCTGTGAATCAATTTGGGTTGCTTTGTTTACATTGTTTTGTTTATTTTTCCAGCGAAACAAGATGGCGTAGAACCCGCTCAAAAAATCGACTTTTTTCACTCTCTTGTTCTTACGTGATCTTGTGTCTTTCGTTCATGACTTGGTAGTACTATTTCATGGAAACCCATGATTCAATAATACAAGGTTCGATAAACTGACAGTTGTCTCTCTCCCACCGCTCCCTTAGCAGTGGCAGAGTGTTGCTTCTTTGCAAATTTACTTGGAAAAAGTGTAGTTTTGCTGTGAAATGGAAGAATAAGCTTTTATGTTTATTTGTATATGCATATTAAGCACATTTAACTGATGAAAATATAAATTGTTTTAAAATTGGTTGTTTACATAAATTTCTTAGTAGTCTTATTTTAATTTTGAGTCCTTTTGCATTTTTTATACAGCTAAATAACACATAAATTACGTAATTCACGTAGATGTATTAATATTTCGTTCAATATTTCGTTTAGACTGCCAGATTTCCTGCAAATACATTAGAATTTACAAAAGGAATTTCAGTACTAATTGCCTACTTTGCGCACTTTTCTACTACCATTTTCGCAATGCAACCTTTTGTAAGGGAGTGTCAAACCGCGGCCGTCAATAATTATCTAACCTTGTATTATTAATCATGGTGGAAACCTAATTGTGTACTTTCCATACATACATATATATACACGCATAATTACACCTTTAAGGTAAACTGCTTAATACATAAAAAGAGGAAGAATAGTTAAATAACGTAAATTTGTTTAAGGGAAAATTATTTGAACAAAGTTTAAATTGAATAAGTTGAATTAAAATAATTACATTAAATTCTATAGCGAAAACAAGGAAATATATATATTAAACTAACAAAATTAGACTAGATTAAATTGAACTGAATTAAATCAAATTAAATTAATTAAATAAAATAAGCTAAACCAATATAAAGGAAAATGAAAATTCAAATTTAGATAAAATGAATTTAAATTAATAACGATTTATAAATCATATGAATACGAAGTGGCCACAATATCATAAAATAAAATCAAATAAGTAGTTAAATAGAGTAACGATAACAAAGCCCGTTGCTACATTAAAATAAAATCTAAGAAAAAAATAATAATTTTCCTTTATAAAGAAAAATAATACCATGTGAATAACGAATTATTAAATATAAATTACCACTTAGCCTTACTTACGATACTTATACTTACCGGACTTACCTTGAATTAAAATACCTACCTGATTTTTCCTACCTAATCCCCCGCTTTGCGACTACTTACCTGATAGTAAATACTTAAGTTTTTACCTGTTATTACTTAATAGACGTTTTCTTTTCTTGAAATACCGGATATATTGCAATTAACGAATAACTTACCTTTATCGAAGGTACTTTTCATTTGACATACTTACCTTAGTTTTAGAAAATACAATCACAGATACTTACCTTAGTCTTAATCACCTTGTATTTAAGCACAGATTTAGGCCATAGGATTTAGATGTTAGGAATTAGTTTTGAAGAGATGATAGGGCTAAGAATTTTAGTTTTTAAGAGCTAGTTTAAGAGGAAGAAGTGTTAATAAATTAATTATAAAATGGGAATGCCGATTCGGCTCTCTATTTAGGAAGGCACGTTAGGAATTTGATAAGGGGCTGCTGATACGAGGGTGCGCCAGCAGCCACGGATGAGGGTGGGCCAGCACCAGTCACCACAATACCAGCGGTGGTGCCTCATATTCGGCCATAGTTTTTTTTTGTTTTGGTTCACTGCTTTTCGTTTTGGTTTTCATAGTTTCAGATTTAGTGTGTTTTTGATTTTTCCGTTATTTTAAATATTTATGTAATGCTCTTTACAACTGTTTTTTGTTGGTGTTAACGGATTTTCTTTTAAATTTTTTTTTGAATTCTTGAATTGTTGTGTGTCTGTCCGTTGGGATGTTTGACAGGCATGACTTTTCTCTGCTATGGCGCAGGGAACAGGAGTGAATGCAAGAACCCAGCCCAGCCGACATGACTAGCCATAGTGCACCCTATTGTGTCATGCCGCCTGCATTCACTGCCGCTCCTAATGTATGCGTACCATAACAGTATTTTAAATTAAAATACATCCCTGGTTATTTTCCAGCACGTCGAGATTTATTTTTATTGGTGACATGTATTTACATGTTAGAATTTTTAACAATTTCCATGAAAAGCCAAAAGTTAATTAATTTAGAATAGAATTTTTACTTAAAAACCAATAGTATTAGTAATAATACTCATAAAGAGCCTAAGTAAATCAGAACTACTTATGTTATTTCGAAGTTAACGCCAGATGTGCACGGCATCGGTATGAAAAATTATAAAAATAATTTTCTCGAAAAATTTTCGTGACGAAAATTTTGTTATCTTTTTGGTAGCGTGGTATCTATATATACCCAAATCGCTAATTAATTTTTTAAGGGGAAAACCATGTACTTGGATGTGAAATAACAGATTTTATAAAATTTTTGAAGCAGATTTGCACTCCAATGCAACAAACATACTTATTTTAAGCCATCTTACAAAATCTTTTTTCAAGATAAAAAATCCCCATACACAAATTTTGCCACTGATAAAAGTTATACATACATATGTATCTAGCAAACAAAATGACATATGGTAGGCAATAATTTCCGCCTGTGGAGACGCGTCGTTAGCTAATCTTTCAATGTTGTAAAGGTTAAATATAAGGTTCTTTCCCGTACGCAACGCTGGATCCCGCGGATGCCCAAAACATCCCAGAAATCATTGCCGTACTCAACAAAATGGGTAATAGAGAGCGAAAATCGGAACGTATTGGATGGTAAGTGTCTTCTTCTTCCTGCCCGAAACAGCCCGGACTTTTTCTCCAGGTAAAAATGTATAAAGTGTCAAAGTGCATGTTACATGTTGCCTGCATTTACTTGGTGCTTTTAAGGAATAGTGAATGGCCTTTATTTTCAGTCTTTATATACTTAAAATCAAATCTGTGAAGCCAAAATTCAATTTCCAAGAGTTAGCATTTAAGTGACAAAAACAAAAACCACGTGAATCAGCTGTTACTCAAATTTTGGGCACGAAATGTAGTTTTTTGCGTTCCCGTACTTCTGGATTATAGTCCATTTTCAAAAGCAAACTTTTTCGCTTATTCTCTAATTACCGGATCCAGTCCAGATTGTTAGGGAAAAAACCTATTATTGATTAGGGCTAAAAGGCGGTTACTTTCACTGCCCAACAAACATTTACGTTTGAGCTCAACTTGGGGTTAGGTTGAGAACTGAGGTATTTCTCAAATCTCCAACATTGTTTCTCAACAGTACCTCAAGTGGAGGATCATAGCGTTCTCAACAAAAAGGGCATTTTTCTTTGTATGAAAAAGGGACTGTTTCTCAAGTTGAGAAAATGCTAGTTCTCAACTTGAACTCCATTTAATTCTCCAATTGGTCTCAAACATATCATTGAAATAGTAAAATACCTTATATCTTTTTGATTGAAACGACATACATAGATGAATTTAAATATTAATTTTTTTATTACTCCTTTTGTATTATGTGGTTAAGCAGCATCGTATTACAATAATTCACTTCACAGTATACATTTTTATTTTATTACTCCTTTTGTATTATGTAGTTAATCAATATCGTATTACAATAATTCATTTCACAGTTCACAGTCCGACAGTAAGTTTGCCAATTTATTCACTTCGAGTTTTATTTTCTTTCAAGATTATTTGAGGATACTTTGAAGAGTATTTACTTTTTGTTGGTATATAGCTTTAGTTTTTCACTTGACAATTAAATAATCGTTTCTCTATCACTTTTTGCGTACCTGCTAGAGCTGCAAAACTATCGATTGTACTATCGATAGTATCGTTAGTTTTATTTTTTGAAAAAAACAAATATATATATATATATATATATATATATATATATTATAGACATTTTGTTCGGAGTTGAAGTTTCCCTACATATACAACACGATAGTATACGATACTATCGATAGTATTTTTCAAACTATCGAATGGCGTCACTATCGATAGTTTTGCAGCTCTAGTATCTGCACGTCGGTTAGAGATGAGTCGGATAATTATGTTGGATATCAACTTGAGAATATTTTTTTGATTTTTATTGGGAGGCGATTAGTTGAATCAAATGTTTACATCATTTAACTGAAATTTGAACAATGTAAACGCCTATTAAATATAATGAATGTGTACGATTGGAAAATAATAATATTCTGAACGAAATTTTTTAAAAAGTTCATTACTGCTACAATACTTGAAAAGGAGGACAAGGAGGACATTTTTGCTCAAATTTTTGAGGAGGACAAATCACGTTTGAGCGGGACAATCGTGCTCAAAGGAGGACGATTGGTCAGCTTACGTATATACACCATTAACGTGAATCAATACAACACAGCATATTTTGCGGGAACGAAACTTTTGCTCGAATCGATACAGAAGTATGTTGCGTGAGATATATATATAAATACCAGTAATAAAAATGAAATGGATTCGCCTATGTTGATCAAAGCTGCTTGATGTAAACAACAACGCATCTTGGATTGATCGCATTAAAATCATAAACATAATTGGCGCAAAATATTCGCCAGAATTTATATCACCCTTCCTTCCATTTGAATTGCACAATAATCCATTAAATGATATCAGACGAATAATTGCTGATGATGCATATTTACTGGAACTCTTCAAGTTCCAGTCAAGCAAATGAAGAAATAAGATTTAAAGTACAATGCAATTATTAACGACGGCGAACTGTACGATCCACAAATAAACTACCGCTCTTCCTTTTTAATAAAGTATACTTTTATTTAAATTATCATTTGTTTGGCGTTTTATCTACTCATTAAACATAAATGGCAACGAGGATGGGATACTGAGTAGAAGATAGTATCACCGAATAACGCGAAATTAAGGAAAAAATTATAAAATTTGTGAAATTTAATAATTAATACGGAATCGCGGATAATTGCGATACTAAAATTTTTACGCATAACAGTTGAAAAAGAAATTAATGGATATGGCACTACCGTTGGCTGCCAATTTAAAGGAGGCTAGAAA